CCACCTGGCACCCTCAGCACCCACATGGCACCCACACAGGGCCCATATGGTCCCCACCTGGCACCCTCAGCACCCACATGGCACCTGCACGGCACCCTCACAGTGCCCACATTCATTCACATTCTGGACAGAGGAAGCGTAGATGCCCACAGCCGTGAGGGGATCTCAGGGCTCCCCCATGCACATAATTCCCTCCATGACTGGCGCCCACATGGAGAGCGGACCAGTGGTCTGCACAGCCCCAGCTTTGCAGGCATGAGGCTTCTGCAGCTGCCCTCCTTGTCCCAGTCAGCTGGGCCTCCATCCAGGCTCTTCTTCTAAGCAGTAGCTTCTTCCAACACATTTTGGCATTTTCTCCTTCAAAGGTCAAAAGAGGCCAGTGCTCCTGAGCCGGCCAGGCCCCCTGAAGTCTCCTTCCCTAAAAGACAAGTGACAGGCAGAAGCTCTGCCGTCAAAGACAGATCTGTTCTCCAGATTCCCTGGCTCTCAGACCTGTGACCTAGGCTGCAGGAGAAAGGAATGTCCCATGAGGGTCAAGATCCAAGAGTGGGTACCCACTGTCCTGCCCTGCTGGGATCAGGTGGTGGGAACTCACTGCCCCACCCTGGCAGGATCAGGAGGTGGGCACCACTGCCCTGCCCTGGTGGGATCAGGAGGTAGGCACCCACTGCCTGGCCTTTGTCCTGCATCTTGACTTGGTCTGCAGAACCTGACAGCAGAATTCATTGGAAATAACAATCACTGGTGTTTCTAGTGCACTTCCAGTTTTTTGTTTGTTTGTTTGTTTTTGGCTAGGCAATGGGGTTAAGTGACTTGCCCAGGGTTGCACAGCTAGTAAGTGTTATGTGTCTGAGGCTGGATTTGAACTCAGGTCCTTCTGACTCCAGAGCCAGTACTCTATCCACTGTGCCACCTAGCTGCCCTGCATTTTCAGTTTTTGCAGAACACTTTATATAAGGGACCTCATTGTTAGGAGCAATTATCTCCGGTTTACAGATGAGGAAATTGAGGCACAGAGCACCTAAGTAAGTTGCCAGGTGTCTGCAGGGTCTTCCTGACTCCCATGCCGGCACTGTCTCCCCTCTGCCACATAGTGGCCTATGAGAGTTTGCCCTCACTGAAGAATCCAATCCAATAAGCATTTATTAAGCGCCTACTGTATGCCAGGCATTGAACTAAACTCTGGGGATAAGATTCATAAAAAAGACAGTCTCTGCCCTCAAGGAGCTTACAGTTTAATGGGGGAGACAACATACAAAAAGAGGGAGGCGGTCCCCAGCACAGGGCAACTTGTTCTGTGGATCCAAAACCAGGCACACCATGCATCTCTGTCCACTACAAGGGGGGCATGGGGAGGAGTTTGGTCCTGCACCTTCTAGTCTCCACTCAGAGGTGCCAGTCAAGGCTCGAGTGGACCCCAGAGAGCAGCTAGTGCCAAGGTCACTTCGGGCCTCCCGCTAGGTCTTTGTCTAGGTGCTCAGGGCCTGCCCTCCCCACCTACGCTGACGGTGCCCAGCAGCTGTGTGGGGCAGGATTGCTCCAGGGCACCTGGAGCCTCAGCAGATCCTCACCTGCAGCCATGCACTGGCCAGGCCCTGAGTCACTGACAGACCTGAAGCCCCTAGCTAGTGGAGGCCCCAGTGCCACCCACACCAAAGTGATGCCCAGGCCCTGCTCAGTAGGGCAATCTGAGCTACCTGCCATGTTCTTCCTGGAAGGCATCGTGCTCTGGGCGGGTTCTGGGTCCTTTTCCTCGGTGGTAATCTGCTGGGAACCTTGAAACCAGGCAGGGCCTAAGCATCTTGGCGGATGTTCACTGACTGGTGGTAGCTTATACTGACCTTGACCCTCCTCCCCCAGGTTGGTATCACGCTCCACTACTCCACCCTCTCCACGATGCTGTGGATCGGTGTGACTGCCAGAAACATCTATAAGCAGGTGACAAAGAAGGCACCCCAGGGCTCGGGGGGTGAGCAGCCTCCATACCCCAAGCAACCTCTGCTCAGGTAGGGATTGTCTGTGTCTGTCTGTCTGTCCCTTGCGTGTGGCCCAAAAGGTGATGCCCTGGTGCCTTCCTGGCCATGCCCTCCAATGACCAGTTCAGAGCTGGTGATGACATTGGGGGACCTCTGGGACCCAGAGCCGGGGTGTGTGGACTGGATGCATCAGGAGGGTGCAGGAACCTGTGATGCCACCTTATGGGAAGGGCTCTCAATTGCTCCCTCACTTGGGATGTAGCGTCACCAAATGCTCCCATGAGAGCTTCAGGTCCCTGCTGGTGTATATTCACTATTAGGGTGCTGGGCTGCCTTAGTTGTTAAAGGGAGTTTCTTCACCCACGAGTTCCAGAAAAGACCCCAGCCTCATTTCCAGCCGTGCTATGTCTCCTTCAGATTTTACCAGGGACATGGCAGATGGGCAGCAACTGGACAGACCAAGCCTAGCTATACTTAGAGCCTCTCGTCTTATGCCTGAATCAGTGTCTCCCGCAACAAAACCAGGATTTGGTTCTGGAGGCTCAGGAGGGCTCCCAGAGTGGGTGCCCAGGGTACGCTCGATCCTCCCCCTTACTTGGGTGACAACCTTCCCAGGAGGCTGGCCCAAGTCTGCATCTTCTGCTGGCCGACTTTTGGGAACAAGCTTTGCCAGGCTTAGCTGGACTGGGCCTCTGGCAGCAAAGACAAAGTCCATCCTAGCGCCAGCCAGCTTAGCAGGGCTGACCAGCAAGCCTTCAGGAGCCCAGCAAGATGCTGGAGGCTGGGGGGCAGGCCACGGGACAGAGCACAGGAGAAGGGGTGCTGAGCCAATGACACCAGGAGGCCAGTCCTGACTGGAAGTCCATTCCCAGCCCGTGGAATGTCGCCCACCCTAATGTGGGGTCCAGTTGTCCTATAGTCATGCTTAGTCCCCTCACACCCAGGCTGGAGCCGGCACTTGACTTGTTCTCATTCCACTCGTGCCAAAGTGCCGGGTGCTGCCCAGCCTGTCCTGACCCCTCCCCGAGTCACCTGGAAGCCTGGCACTCTAGCCAGGAGGGGATCTCCCAATCAAAATCACACCACACTTCCTTTTCCCTCTTGGGAAGGTTATTTTCATGCCGCATGGTGATGTTGATGAGGAGGGGAAGGTCATCACCAACAGACAACAGAGGTTCTCAGCTGAGAATAGGCCCTCCCTGAGGCCACCCGGCCAACGTCCAGGTCATCTTTGTGAACCGTGCTCATCCTTGCTCTGAACGTGCCCCTCCACTCCTCGCAGCTCTTTCCTGGCTCCCTATCACCTCCTTAGTCAAGTCAGGCTCTGGCCTCACCTACCTCTGCTGCCATCCCCTTCCCCATGCCCTCCCCCCCAAACTGAAGTCTTTGTTCCCCAAGACCCTCCCTGCCCCTTTGCTCTTCTGTCCATTTTTAGGGAGGGAGGCAGGATGGAGAAAAGGGCAGTCCAAAGTCCTGGGTCAAGTTCTGACTCTGCCATTTCTCCCTTCCCTCCCTGGGCCTGCCTCAGGTTCTTCCTTGATAACTCTCTGGGCCTGTTGGGCCTCCTGCCCGCCCCTCAATGCCCACTCAGAGGCCACCTTCTCCAGGAAGTCTCCCTAAGATCCTGCCTTCAACAGGAAGCCTTTCCCGATGTCCTGTTGGTTATTTCCTGGTGTTTGTCCTGTCTGCAGCTGAGGGCAGAGACAGCCTTTGGCCTTTCTTTGTACCCCCAGCACCTAGCACAGGTCTGGCATAAAGTAGGCACTTCTTAAATGTTTGTTGACTGACTGACTGACTGACTTTGCACCGAGTATGGCATATTATAGCTCTTGGCTCGGACATCATTTCCCTGCAAGACCAGGAACTCTATGAGGGCAGGTCAGGGTCTTACCAAACTTTATATGTTCCCTCACCACTGCCACACACACACACACCCAATGCAAAGGTTTGTGCCCCGAGTAGGTCTACTATAGTGAGTGAATGAATGCATTCTTCAATGGCCAGCAGTGAGGGCAGTCCCATGGCACGCGGCAAACTGCAGACAAGAAGCTGATGTAGAAACACGACTGCCTGGCCTGATCAGTGTGTGCTAGGGGCAGGGAGTGAGCACAGAGAGCTGCCATAAGCCCCATACCAGAGAACCTCCCCGCCCCCAGCCGAGGGCCCCCAGAGGAAGAGGATTCCTCCCAGAGGGATGGCTAAGAGGCAGGCGTGTTCATGCGCAGCATTTGATCTTGCCCACGGTCAGAGCCAGCCCTTCTGGGGCACCATCTGGAGGTTCACCTTGGGGCAGATGTCTGTGAGGACTCCTCAGAGGAGACAGCCTGAGTTAGACCATAAAGGACCAAGAGCAGGTCCCTTCCTGGGAGTCTGGCCATGCAGGCCCTTGGAAGCGGGATGGAGAGAGGACCACTCACGGCCATCTGATGACCTGCTGAGCTCGCAGGTGCAGGCAGAAAAGTCCTTCTGTTGCACTGAAGCCTCTGACAGGCCTCATCATAGATGTTTCAGCTTCTCTCTGAGAACCAGGAGAGTGGCTGCCTGTCCAGCAATGAGCCGGAAACTGCCCTTTTCGCTACAATCAGGTCAACTGTACTGAAACTCCTGCCGCACAGGGCTGGGGGATATGTAGCACCTACAAATGAGTGACTGAATGAAAAGCATTTACTAAGCACCCTATACCAAGTACTGTGTGCTAACCGGAGGGCTATGCACAAAAGCGGACAGTGCCTGCCCTCAGAGAGGAGACAACATACAAAGGTGTGCAGTGGCCAAGGAGGGAGCCCTTTGCCCCAGAAAGTTACAGCAATGAAATGAGGTCTAAGGGAACACATAGGCAAAGCTCATCCAGAAATCATGGCAAAGTTGGATTGATCATAGTTCATGGTCCCAGAATCGGGAGTGGGTAAGCTGGAAGTCAAGATGGTGGGTGAGGCTGTGGAAGAGGAGTCTGTACAGTGGGGATTGAAGCAGGTGAAGCAGATCATCTCTTGAATTGTGCCTGAGAGATGCAGTCACCAGCCAAGGCGACGAGGGGCACGAGACAGACTGGCAGAAGTCAATCTGCCAAAACAGATAAAAAGAATCTGCAGCATTGTGAAAGGTAAGTCCCTGAGATGGGGGCAGAACAACCCAATGGGAGGCCCCAGGCAGATGGAGGGTCATCTCTGATGAGTGATCAGGGCCAACTGCTCGGAGGAGGCATCCTTGGGATTGGACTCTGAGGACTGAGCAAGGAAGCAGAGCATTCCAGCAGGTTCTCATGTCTCAGACAAGCCCACAAGGGAGGTGCAGACAGGGAGGATTTGGGTGGGCTACCACCCCCTTGTACATTTTGGGCTCTTCTCTGGCTCTGCCTCTCCTTCTATCCCTCCTCTTCTCCCTCCCTCTCTCTCTCCCCCTCTTCTCTTTCTCCCTCTCCCTCTCTCTCTTTTTCTCTTTCTCTCTTTCCTCTCTCTCTTTTTCTCTTTCTCTCTTTCCTCTCTCTCTTTCTCCATCTTTCTCTCTCCCCCTCTTTCTCTCCCCTTCTTCCCTCCCTCTTCCCCCTTCAATTTCTCTATTTCTCTCTTTCTTCCTTCCCCACCCCCAGCTGCTGAGATGTTCCTCACAAGTGAGCGTGCTCCGTTTTGATAATCCTTTCTCACAGTATTTTGGTGGCTGCTGAAGGGGCTGTTGCTGGCATCATGGGATAATGATGAACCATCATTCCACCATCAAGGAGCTTAAGCAGTAGTCAGCTCCATATTAACATACCTCCTCCAGCAAGCCTGGCTTCAGCTGATCCCTAGGGCAGAGGAGATATGCTGTGCTCTGGTTTTCCTGCATTTGGAAGAGGACATGAGGGAATGGAGAAACTTTCCCAGTACAAACAAACACTCATGGCTTCCTTCCTTCTGCCCATTTCCATTAGATTACCTTCACCACCATGAGGGACCCTGAAGATGGGAGCCAAAAGAGGCCACAGGTCATTGACTAGAGAGGACAGAGCAGTGAGCCCTGGGTTCATGACCTTGGCAAGCCTCTGTCTTGCCATGACTAACCCTAACCCAACCTGAGCTTACAGGTCATTCAGACTGTCCATGGGCCTTGTTGACCCAGAAATAGAAACACCTCAAGACCATCTGGGAGGTTGTGTTGAGTCTGTGGCCACTTGTCCCTGAGAGGACAGATTCCATTGTAGGCCAAAATTGGAAATCACAATGTTGGACTCCATATTTTAGCTCAGATTTTAAGCTGGTTCTTTGGTGGGGAGGCAGAGAATGAAATGGCTCAGGGAGAATCATCTGCTCTCTGGTCTTTGGTCTGGTCTGGGGGCAGACTTTTGTAGACCCAGAACAGAGTAGCCTAAGCCCAATCATTCATCCTCAATGACCACAGTGAGTTTTGAATGGCTCCATGAGTGCCAAGGGGCATGCCCACACCCTTGCCCCCTTGTAATCTCTGACCCACCTACCCCCACATAATCACTGAATGAAAGAATTTGGGAGTCCAGTGACTCCAGAGCACCCCTCAGCAGGAATCCTCTCTACCATCTATCTGACAAATGGGTGTCAGGCCTCTGACTGAGGACTTCCAATGAAGCCTTCCATTCCATTTGCAGATTGCTCATCAGGACATTTACCCTTAATGACAGTAATAGCTGGTGTTTCTTGTATTTTGAAAAGTACTTTATTTGTGTGACTTCACTCTAACCTTCACAACAACCCTAGGAGGTAAATGCTGCCATAATGCCCATTTCACAAATGGGGAAACTGAGGTACACAGTTATTTACTGACTTTCCAGATCACACAACTAGTACCTGAGAAGGGATTTGAACCCGGCCATTCCCAATATCAAGCCGGAGGCTGTATTGCCCGCGTGATGCTGCCTTCTTACCTTCAGCTTAAATCGGTCTTTTGATACTTTCCCTCCACTGCTCCCAGCACTGCCCTTAGGGGCTAAACAGAGTGAGCTGAATCATTATTTCCTGCAAAGAGACTGGACCAGATGCTGGACCAGATTGGGCTGGTTGCTCTCCATGGTACCTTTC